CGCCCGCCGACCGACTCAGCCGCCCACCGACCGACTCACCCGCCCACCGACTCAGCCGCTCACCGACCGACTCAGCCGCCCACCGACCGACTCACCCGCCCACCGACTCACCCGCCCACCGACTCACCCGCTCACCGACTCACTCGCCCACCGAGTCACTCGCCCACCGACTCACCCGCTCAACGACCGACTCACCCGCTCACCGACTCGCTCGCCCACCCACCGACTCGCTCGCCCACCGACTCACCCGCCAACCGACCGACTCACCCGCCAACCGACCGACTCACTCGCCCACCGACCCACCGACCGACTCACCCGCCCACCGACCGACTCACCCGCCCACCGACCGACTCACCCGCCCACCGACCGACTCACCCGCCCACCGACCGACTCACCCGCCCACCGACCGACTCACCCGCCCACCGACCGACTCACCCGCTCACCGACTCACCCGCCAACCGACCGACTCACCCGCCCGCCGACCGACTCACCCGCCCGCCGACCGACTCACCCGCCCGCCGACCGACTCAGCCGCCCGCCGACCGACTCAGCCGCCCGCCGACCGACTCAGCCGCCCGCCGACCGACTCAGCCGCCCGCCGACCGACTCAGCCGCCCGCCGACCGACTCAGCCGCCCGCCGACCGACTCAGCCGCCCGCCGACCGACTCAGCCGCCCGCCGACCGACTCAGCCGCCCGCCCACCGACTCAGCCGCCCGCCCACCGACTCAGCCGCCCGCCGACCGACTCAGCCGCCCGCCGACCGACTCAGCCGCCCGCCGACCGACTCACCCGCCCGCCGACCGACTCAGCCGCCCGCCGACCGACTCAGCCGCCCGCCGACCGACTCAGCCGCCCGCCGACCGACTCAGCCGCCCGCCGACCGACTCAGCCGCCCGCCGACCGACTCAGCCGCCCGCCGACCGACTCAGCCGCCCGCCGACCGACTCAGCCGCCCGCCGACCGACTCAGCCGCCCGCCGACCGACTCAGCCGCCCGCCGACCGACTCAGCCGCCCGCCGACCGACTCAGCCGCCCGCCGACCGACTCAGCCGCCCGCCGACCGACTCAGCCGCCCACCGACCGACTCAGCCGCCCACCGACCGACTCACCCGCCCACCGACCGACTCACCCGCCCACCGACCGACTCAGCCGCCCACCGACCGACTCAGCCGCCCACCGACCGACTCAGCCGCCCACCGACCGACTCAGCCGCCCACCGACCGACTCAGCCGCCCACCGACCGACTCAGCCGCCCACCGACCGACTCAGCCGCCCACCGACCGACTCAGCCGCCCACCGACCGACTCAGCCGCCCGCCCACCGACTCAGCCGCCCGCCCACCGACTCAGCCGCCCGCCGACCGACTCAGCCGCCCGCCGACCGACTCAGCCGCCCGCCGACCGACTCACCCGCCCGCCGACCGACTCACCCGCCCGCCGACCGACTCAGCCGCCCGCCGACCGACTCAGCCGCCCACCGACCGACTCAGCCGCCCGCCGACCGACTCACCCGCCCACCGACCGACTCACCCGCCCACCGACCGACTCAGCCGCCCACCGACCGACTCAGCCGCCCACCGACCGACTCAGCCGCCCGCCGACCGACTCACCCGCCCACCGACCGACTCACCCGCTCACCGACCGACTCAGCCGCTCACCGACCGACTCAACCGCTCGCCCACCGACTCAGCCGCCCTCCGACCGACTCAGCCGCTCACCGACCGACTCAGCCGCTCACCGACCGACTCGCCCGCCCACCGACACACACACACACACACACCTGTCGATGGGCTTGATGATGAAGGGGATGGTGGAGAGGCCGATGGCAGTGGTGGTCCACTTGCGCACAGGCAGTGGCCAGCGTGTGGTTTTCCCCAGCAGGAAGAGAGACGCGGCACACACACGGTTGATGGTGAACCCAGGGATCGCCACTGAAGCCAGAGCCTGCCATAGGAAGGTGTCGACCACAGCCACGCCCACACGAGCCGCCTTCCCAGCATCCTCGGCGTGAGCCTGCACACACGCCCAGGCACACGTGTTTAACAGCACTTTCACAAACACACACTTGTTCAAGGCAAAATCATGGCGGTAATGTTCAGAATATCAGAGAATGTGGGACATTTGCTGCATTTCTTCCCCATCACATGTTTTAATAATCATCCTAAATTAGGTATCAATCAAAAGCTTAAAATTCATCCCGTGAAAACTGTTAAAATTTTACACATTGCGTTACCATGGAAATGGTACTTTTAAAACCTTTCAGCAGGCTCCTCCCCCTAGTGGGCGGGGTCATATGACAAAATTTGCTGCACCATTTAATAATCAAATTTTAATAATTAGATCTTGACAAAACACGAATTTTGGAAAAATCTCTGAGACTGAAAGATCCATATTTGGCGCTGTTGTGTGATTGAAGTGATATGAAATGTATTAATAAGTGAGATCACTGTGTGTCACCCGGTGGCAGTTTTTGGTTCAACGCCTAAAAAAAAAAAAAAAAGAGTCTCACATGAACCAACATTTTTGTGATTTGATTGGGCTTTGATTGGGCTTTACACTCACCGCCGCTGCTTTCTTGCCTTTATCCAGCGCGTCGGCGGACACGTATGCAGTGGCCACGGCGTAACTGACCCACACGGCGCTGACGGGCACCAGCGCGCGGAACGCCTCGCCAACCTCGTTAGCATAGCCTGCAGACAAACCATAGACTGTGCAAAACACTGGGCGTAGTGTGTGTGACGTCACCCGTAGTGTTTCTGAAGAGCGTTTCTGAAGCCCAAAGTGGGCGGAGCCGGCCGTCGCCATCTTGGCCGCGCGTCACTCCCGGATAAACGAACATGTGCAGCGAGGCGGATTAGCTGAGGTGACGTGACGCTAACGCTAGCAGACAAACGGCTAGGGGATATCAGCTGCAATCCACCTGTCACTCAAGTGGCCGCGCCCTTAATTATGCAGAACTTAATATAATTTAAACGGATGAGTTATAAAAATATCCCCGCCTCACAGTCGTCATGAAGGGCAACATTAGCGATATAGACCAAAACCACTTTTTGCACCAGACTGTAAACATGTTTATTTCTGCTGTAAAGTTGGGCATTTTAACATGCGGGTCTATGGGACTGAGTCTCTTCTGCAGCCGGCCTCTAGTGGCCAGTGGAGGAACTGCAGGCTAACTCTCTCAGTGCTGGTTATAGAGAGAGAGAGAGAGAGAGAGAGAGAGAGAGAGAGAGAGAGAGAGAGAGAGAGAGAGAGAGAGAGAGAGAGAGAGAGAGAGAGAGAGAGAGAGAGAGATTCAGCTGCTCCAGAGAATCCAACACACACACACACTGTGAAGAAACTTCAACATTTACAGCTTCATCGTGATGCTTCTTGAGAACAGAATTTCTTTCCGTTTCATTTCCAATGGTAACATTTTTTTAAGTGTGACAATATTGAATCATGTGCTGTGCAGCTTAAAAGCATAAAATGCAATTAGCCGTACAAAGGTATAAATACAAAGGTCATTTTATCGCAGAACAGTTTAAAATGACCAACATACAATGTTATTACACACATAAATAATTTAAGATGTGATGGAAATGACGCTTATAATAATAACAACAACATTCATTATATTGATAATAATTATTTTCCCTAATAAAAAATGAGTGAAATTACAGAATTGTTCTGCTGTTAGTGGAGAAATAAACTAGTGACTGAGTCAAAGAGACTTGACTTTCTGAATGTTAACAGGACCAAAAGGAACATGAATATGACTTTGGTAAATCATAATTATTTTATCATATGACAAAAACTTTTTGATCTCATAATTTTAAGATTTTAATCCCATAATTATGACTTTGTAAGTCATGTTATGTGGCAGAAATGGGCTGCTTTGGAGTTCAAAAACATTAATAAATCAAACACACCAATGCTTGTATTATTATGATAATCAATAAGCTTCAATAATGCAGGAGTGTGTTCAGATCGTGTGAACTACCCAAACACACAGACTAGCCTAACCTGACTAACCCGCACACAGGAACTGGTTCTGGAGGTCAGACTGTCTTTCACTCACCGAGAAATCTGACCCACGTGTCTCGGTAAATATCCACTTGTTTCTCGGGCGAGTGCTCCATACTGACCCGTGTGTGTGTGTGTGTGTGTGTGTGTGTGTGTGATATCTGAGGCAGAGCTCGGTCAGATCAGAGATGTTGAGATCTGATGTTGTTCACACACACTCAGACGCGCCATACTGGACCTGTTCTCAGGCACCGTCTGCAAACCACACACACTCTCACACACACTTTACATTATTCATTCATCTTCATTCATGCTTCCTTTGTGAGTTGCAGTCAAAGTCAGAGTTCATTTACTATTTACATTTATCACATGAGAGTTTGAATCCGGAAATTATCACTATAATCACTTGACGATAATCTGTCCGTTTCACTGATTGGACAGAGTCAATTGTATTTTAAAGTGTGAAAGTTAGTTTGATTATGTAGCAAACATTCACTGTCCTTAACATTACCTCGTTAAGATAATGCGTGTTATTCGTATTTAAACATAACATTATAATGGTTAAAATAAATGTTTGGTGTTGTTTTCCGTTTCCTCGTGACTTTTTTAAGTGTAATTTTACGACAGTCCTTTAACCATTTCTACGTAATATACTCCGGAAGTGAGGCGACTCTACAACATCGTCATAATAATAATCATAATCATAATAATAATACAATCACGTTAGTGATGACTTACTATAGTAAATTATAGGTTTACCGTTTATACATTCTCGATTATTCCAAAATATGAGGTTGCGCATAAAACAAAAAAAACACTAATTCCGTGGACTAGAAAAGGTTGTCAAATGTAGAGAGTAACTATACTCTAAACGTTAAGTTCCCATTTCGGTAAATCTTTTATGATCACAAATCTCCGTCCCGTTGCTGATGTGTGGGAAGGCTGATGTACGATTGACAGGCGAGAGAGCCAATCGCTAGGCGTCGTGTAAGCGCTGCAGCCAATCAGGTGACAGCATGAGGCGACAGCAGGACTCGATGAGCGCGAGCGTGAGTCCAGCGACGCGTTTGAAAATCGTTGAATTTAAACAATGATTTCAAGATCGTCGCTGGTTTTGTTTGCAGTTTTCTGCTTTGGTTTATGCGATGATGGCCATGAAATGGAAGAGTTTTTAAAGAGAGAGTATTCCCTGTCAAAGCCTTACCAGGGTAAGAGACACACATGCTTATTCACGCGCTTTAGCTCTTATTATAATAGTAATAATAATGTGAATGATCAATATTTCACCTTCGTGGTCAGTGTTGCCGGACTGGAAGTGTTTGGGCGTGTTTACATGTTTTCAGCTGCTTTATTCCACGCTGTTATTGTGTGTTTGCGCTGAACATCGGGCGGTCCATCAGAGTTATTATCATTTTAATCATTTACTTAAAAAAAAAAAAAAATCGTATCTTATAACACGCGTGCAAAGTTGATTAATGCCAATAATTAATAATTAACACAACTCCCCAGAGCTCGAACTGAACCCAGTCGTATGGGGGTCCCGCCCTTTTGGGGGGTTTAGTTTAATAAGTGGAGATAAAGACACATTATAGGAGAATACAAAAAGTACACAAGGGTTTTAAATATTTCTGCTTCAAACTGTTTTTAATAATTATGTAATTATTTGTAGTCCTATTTTACACTGTATGTGACATGTTCATATTTTCATATCACGATAATTGATGAAGATTTGATCATGGTGTCACATATTGAATTAGGTTAGTGTTGTCCTTCTAACAGGTTTAATAACTTATTTCTTTAAAAAAAGATCAGATTAAAGTGCAAAAGAATAATAAAGAACAATAGGTAACACTTTAAAATTAGGTCACATTAGTTGTGAGAGATAGAGAGAGAGAGTGAGTGTGTGTGTGTGTGTGTGTGTGTGTGTGTGTGTCTCGGGCTCGTCTCACTGGGAGTTAATGGGAGATCCTCTGGTGTGTGTGTGTGTGTGTGCAGGTGTGGGCGTCTCGGGCTCGTCTCACTGGGAGTTAATGGGAGATGCTCTGATATGTGTGTGTGTGTGTCTCGGGCTCGTCTCACTGGGAGTTAATGGGAGATCCTCTGATGTGTGTGTGTGTGTGTGTGTCTCGGGCTCGTCTCACTGGGAGTTAATGGGAGATCCTCTGATGTGTGTGTGTGTGTGTGTGTGTCTCGGGCTCGTCTCACTGGGAGTTAATGGGAGATCCTCTGATGTGTGTGTGTGTGGGCGTCTCGGGCTCGTCTCACTGGGAGTTAATGGGAGATCCTCTGATATGTGTGTGTGTGTGTGTGCAGGTGTGGGCGTCTCGGGCTCGTCTCACTGGGAGTTAATGGGAGATGCTCTGATCACTACGGATCATGTTCGTCTCACTCCAGATCAGCAGAGCAAACAGGGAGCCATATGGAGCCGAATGGTGAGTCGCTTCATTACTGATGATCCCTCACTAGTGTTCACTACAGACTGATGATCCCTCACTAGTGTTCACTACAGACTGATGATCCCTCACTAGTGTTCACTACAGACTGATGATCCCTCACTAGTGTTCACTACAGACTGATGATCCCTCACTAGTGTTCACTACAGACTGATGATCCCTCACTAGTGTTCACTACAGACTGATGATCCCTCACTAGTGTTCACTACAGACTGATGATCCCTCACTAGTGTTCACTACAGACTGATGATCCCTCACTAGTGTTCACTACAGACTGATGATCCCTCACTAGTGTTCACTACAGACTGATGATCCCTCACTAGTCTTCACTACAGACTGATGATCCCTCACTAGTGTTCACTACAGACCGATGATCCCTCACTAGTGTTCACTAGACCGATGATCCCTCACTAGTGTTCACTACAGACTGATGATCCCTCACTAGTGTTCACTACAGACTGATGATCCCTCACTAGTGTTCACTACAGACCGATGATCCCTCACTAGTGTTCACTACATGACTGAAAATTTTAATTTTACTGAATTCCATTGAAATAGTTTAATTTAATTTTACATTTTAAATTTGTATCTGTGTGTATCTCTGTGTGTGTGTGCACGTGTGTGTGTGTGTGTGTGTGTGCAGCCATGTCACCTGAGGGATTGGGAACTACAGGTTCACTTTAAGGTTCACGGTCGAGGGAAGAAGAATCTGAACGGTGACGGTCTGGCGGTCTGGTACACGAAGGAGCGCATGAGGAGAGGTGTGTTTAATAACTGATATTGTTTAATAACTGCATTAATAACTGATATTCATCACTCACTGATCAGGGTTTATGGTAATGGTCTCTCACTGATTGCAGGTCCGGTGTTCGGGAACCGGGATTTCTTCACTGGACTCGGTGTGTTTGTGGACACGTATCCCAACGAGGAGAAACTTCTGGAGGTACAGGAATAAAGTGTGTTATCAGTGACGTTACAGTATCTGTGTGTGGGACTGAGAACAGACCTTCATAAATGTTGGATCGTGAGGTCCGGGTTCTGTGCGGGCCGGTCCAGTTCTTCCACACCGGACTCATGTCTTCATGGACCTCGCTGTGTGCATTAGTCATGCTGGAATAGAAGAGGACCTTCACCAAACAGCCCCTCACCAGTATCCCCTCTCCAGCAGACATCACTGAGCCCTTCTCTAGCCCGACCCCTGATAACAGCCCCGCACCAGTATCCCCACTCCAGTAGACATCACTGAGCCCTTCACTAGCCCGACCCCTGATAACAGCCCCGCACCAGTATCCCCCCTCCAGTAGACATCACTGAGCCCTTCACTAGCCCGACCCCTGATAACAGCCCCGCACCAGTATCCCCCCTCCAGTAGACATCACTGAGCCCTTCACTAGCCCGACGCCTGATAACAGCTCCACACCAGTATCCCCACTCCAGTAGACATCACTGAGCCCTTCACTAGCCCGACCCCTGATAACAGCCCCGCACCAGTATCCCCTCTCCAGCAGACATCACTGAGCCCTTCACTAGCCCGACCCCTGATAACAGCCCCGCACCAGTATCCCCCCTCCAGTAGACATCACTGAGCCCTTCACTAGCCCGACCCCTGATAACAGCCCCGCCCCAGTATCCCCCCTCCAGTAGACATCACTGAGCCCTTCACTAGCCCGACCCCTGATAACAGCCCCGCACCAGTATCCCCCCTCCAGTAGACATCACTGAGCCCTTCACTAGCCCGACCCCTGATAACAGCCCCGCACCAGTATCCCCCCTCCAGCAGACATCACTGAGCCCTTCACTAGCCCGACCCCTGATAACAGCCCCTCACCAGTATCCCCCCTCCAGTAGACATCACTGAGCCCTTCACTAGCCCGACCCCTGATAACAGCCCCGCACCAGTATCCCCCCTCCAGCAGACATCACTGAGCCCTTCACTAGCCCGACCCCTGATAACAGCCCCGCACCAGTATCCCCCCTCCAGCAGACATCACTGAGCCCTTCACTAGCCCGACCCCTGATAACAGCCCCTCACCAGTATCCCCCCTCCAGCAGACATCACTGAGCCCTTCACTAGCCCGACCCCTGATAACAGCCCTGCACCAGTATCCCCCCTCCAGCAGACATCACTGAGCCCTTCACTAGCCCGACCCCTGATAACAGCCCCGCACCAGTATCCCCCCTCCAGCAGACATCACTGAGCCCTTCACTAGCCCGACCCCTGATAACAGCCCCGCACCAGTATCCCCCCTCCAGTAGACATCACTGAGCCCTTCACTAGCCCGACCCCTGATAACAGCCCCTCACCAGTATCCCCCCTCCAGTAGACATCACTGAGCCCTTCACTAGCCCGACCCCTGATAACAGCCCCGCACCAGTATCCCCCCTCCAGCAGACATCACTGAGCCCTTCACTAGCCCGACCCCTGATAACAGCCCCGCACCAGTATCCCCCCTCCAGTAGACATCACTGAGCCCTTCACTAGCCCGACCCCTGATAACAGCCCCGCACCAGTATCCCCCCTCCAGTAGACATCACTGAGCCCTTCACTAGCCCGACGCCTGATAACAGCCCCACACCAGTATCCCCTCTCCAGCAGACATCACTGAGCCCTTCACTAGCCCGACCCCTGATAACAGCCCCGCACCAGTATCCCCCCTCCAGTAGACATCACTGAGCCCTTCACTAGCCCGACCCCTGATAACAGCCCCGCACCAGTATCCCCCCTCCAGTAGACATCACTGAGCCCTTCACTAGCCTGACCCCTGATAACAGCCCCACACCAGTATCCCCCTTCCAGTAGACATCACTGAGCCCTTCACTAGCCCGACCCCTGATAACAGCCCCGCACCAGTATCCCCCCTCCAGTAGACATCACTGAGCCCTTCACTAGGCCGACCCCTGATAACAGCCCCGCACCAGTATCCCCCCTCCAGCAGACATCACTGAGCCCTTCACTAGCCCGACCCCTGATAACAGCCCCGCACCAGTATCCCCTCTCCAGCAGACATCACTGAGCCCTTCACTAGCCCGACCCCTGATAACAGCCCCGCACCAGTATCCCCCCTCCAGTAGACATCACTGAGCCCTTCACTAGCCCGACCCCTGATAACAGCCCCTCACCAGTATCCCCCCTCCAGTAGACATCACTGAGCCCTTCACTAGCCCGACCCCTGATAACAGCCCCGCACCAGTATCCCCCCTCCAGTAGACATCACTGAGCCCTTCACTAGCCCGACCCCTGATAACAGCCCCGCACCAGTATCCCCCCTCCAGTAGACATCACTGAGCCCTTCACTAGCCCGACGCCTGATAACAGCCCCACACCAGTATCCCCCCTCCAGTAGACATCACTGAGCCCTTCACTAGCCCGACCCCTGATAACAGCCCCACACCAGTATCCCCCCTCCAGTAGACATCACTGAGCCCTTCACTAGCCCGACCCCTGATAACAGCCCCGCACCAGTATCCCCCCTCCAGTAGACATCACTGAGCCCTTCACTAGCCCGACGCCTGATAACAGCCCCGCACCAGTATCCCCCCTCCAGCAGACATCACTGAGCCCTTCACTAGCCCGACCCCTGATAACAGCCCCGCACCAGTATCCCCACTCCAGCAGACATCACTGAGCCCTTCACTAGCCCGACCCCTGATAACAGCCCCGCACCAGTATCCCCACTCCAGTAGACATCACTGAGCCCTTCACTAGCCCGACCCCTGATAACAGCCCCGCACCAGTATCCCCCCTCCAGTAGACATCACTGAGCCCTTCACTAGCCCGACCCCTGATAACAGCCCCGCACCAGTATCCCCCCTCCAGTAGACATCACTGAGCCCTTCACTAGCCCGACCCCTGATAACAGCCCCGCACCAGTATCCCCCCTCCAGTAGACATCACTGAGCCCTTCACTAGCCCGACCCCTGATAACAGCCCCTCACCAGTATCCCCCCTCCAGTAGACATCACTGAGCCCTTCACTAGCCCGACCCCTGATAACAGCCCCGCACCAGTATCCCCCCTCCAGTAGACATCACTGAGCCCTTCACTAGCCCGACCCCTGATAACAGCCCCGCACCAGTATCCCCCCTCCAGCAGACATCACTGAGCCCTTCACTAGCCCGACCCCTGATAACAGCCCCGCACCAGTATCCCCCCTCCAGTAGACATCACTGAGCCCTTCACTAGCCCGACGCCTGATAACAGCCCCGCACCAGTATCCCCCCTCCAGTAGACATCACTGAGCCCTTCACTAGCCCGACCCCTGATAACAGCCCCGCACCAGTATCCCCCCTCCAGCAGACATCACTGAGCCCTTCACTAGCCCGACCCCTGATAACAGCCCCACACCAGTATCCCCCCTCCAGTAGACATCACTGAGCCCTTCACTAGGCCGACCCCTGATAACAGCCCCGCACCAGTATCCCCCCTCCAGTAGACATCACTGAGCCCTTCACTAGCCCGACCCCTGATAACAGCCCCGCACCAGTATCCCCCCTCCAGCAGACATCACTGAGCCCTTCACTAGCCCGACCCCTGATAACAGCCCCACACCAGTATCCCCCCTCCAGTAGACATCACTGAGCCCTTCACTAGCCCGACCCCTGATAACAGCCCCGCACCAGTATCCCCCCTCCAGTAGACATCACTGAGCCCTTCACTAGCCCGACCCCTGATAACAGCCCCGCACCAGTATCCCCCCTCCAGTAGACATCACTGAGCCCTTCACTAGCCCGACCCCTGATAACAGCCCCGCACCAGTATCCCCCCTCCAGTAGACATCACTGAGCCCTTCACTAGCCCGACCCCTGATAACAGCCCCGCACCAGTATCCCCCCTCCAGTAGACATCACTGAGCCCTTCACTAGCCCGACGCCTGATAACAGCCCCGCACCAGTATCCCCCCTCCAGTAGACATCACTGAGCCCTTCACTAGCCCGACCCCTGATAACAGCCCCGCACCAGTATCCCCCCTCCAGCAGACATCACTGAGCCCTTCACTAGCCCGACCCCTGATAACAGCCCCACACCAGTATCCCCCCTCCAGTAGACATCACTGAGCCCTTCACTAGCCCGACCCCTGATAACAGCCCCGCACCAGTATCCCCCCTCCAGTAGACATCACTGAGCCCTTCACTAGCCCGACCCCTGATAACAGCCCCGCACCAGTATCCCCCCTCCAGTAGACATCACTGAGCCCTTCACTAGCCCGACCCCTGATAACAGCCCCTCACCAGTATCCCCCCTCCAGTAGACATCACTGAGCCCTTCACTAGCCCGAAGTGAACGCTCACAGTGTTTGTGTTTGTGTGTTTTTAGGCTCAGAGGAAGCGATACACGCCGCGCACGCAGGTAACCTAGCTTTCTCTAATCATGCTCAGTGATGGTCATGTGATGGTCATGTGACTCTCTGTACGCCTGTGACTGACTGATCTCCTGTGTTTGTGCTAGCGTATCTTCCCGTACGTGTTAGCTATGGTGGGCAACGGCTCGATCAGCTACGACCACGATCGGGACGGGCGTCCCTCAGAACTGGGCGGCTGCAGCGCGATGGTGCGAAACCTGAAGCACGACAGCTTTCTGTTCATCAGATACGTGCGCCGCAGACTCACGGTGAGTGTGTGTGTGTGTGTGTGTGTGTGTGTGTGCGCCGCAGACTCACGGTGAGTGTGTGTGTGTGTGTGTGTGTGCGCCGCAGACTCACGGTGAGTGTGTGTGTGTGTGTGTGTGTGCGCCGCAGACTCACGGTGAGTGTGTGTGTGTGTGTGTGTGCGCCGCAGACTCACGGTGAGTGTGTGTGTGTGTGCGCCGCAGACTCACGGTGAGTGTGTGTGTGTGTGTGTGTGTGTGTGTGTGTGCGCCGCAGACTCACGGTGAGTGTGTGTGTGTGTGTGTGTGTGCGCCGCAGACTCACGGTGAGTGTGTGTGTGTGTGTGTGTGTGCGCCGCAGACTCACGGTGAGTGTGTGTGTGTGTGTGTGTGTGCGCCGCAGACTCACGGTGAGTGTGTGTGTGTGTGTGTGTGTGCGCCGCAGACTCACGGTGAGTGTGTGTGTGTGTGTGTGTGTGTGCGCCGCAGACTCACGGTGAGTGTGTGTGTGTGTGTGTGTGCGCCGCAGACTCACGGTGAGTGTGTGTGTGTGTGTGTGTGCGCCGCAGACTCACGGTGAGTGTGTGTGTGTGTGTGTGTGTGCGCCGCAGACTCACGGTGAGTGTGTGTGTGTGTGCGCCGCAGACTCACGGTGAGTGTGTGTGTGTGTGTGTGTGTGTGCGCCGCAGACTCACGGTGAGTGTGTGTGTGTGTGTGTGTGTGCGCCGCAGACTCACGGTGAGTGAGTGTGTGTGTGTGTGTGTGCGCCGCAGACTCACGGTGAGTGTGTGTGTGTGTGTGTGCGCCGCAGACTCCCGGTGAGTGTGTGTATGTGTGTGTGCGCCGCAGACTCACGGTGAGTGTGTGTGTGTGTGTGTGCGCCGCAGACTCACGGTGAGTGTGTGTGTGTGTGTGTGCGCTGCAGACTCACGGTGAGTGAGTGTGTGTGTGCGCCGCAGACTCACGGTGAGTGTGTGTGTGTGTGTGCGCCGCAGACTCACGGTGAGTGAGTGTGTGTGTGTGCGCCGCAGACTCACGGTGAGTGTGTGTGTGTGTGTGCGCCGCAGACTCCCGGTGAGTGTGTGTGTGTGTGTGCGCCGCAGACTCCCGGTGAGTGTGTGTGCGCTGCAGACTCACGGTGAGTGTGTGTGTGTGTGTGTGTGCGCCGCAGACTCACGGTGAGTGTGTGTGTGTGTGTGTGTGTGTGCGCTGCAGACTCACGGTGAGAACGAGCTGACGTGTGTGTGTGCAGATCATGCTGGATATCGACGGGCAGCACGAGTGGAGAGATTGCCTGGACGTTCCCGGTGTTCGTCTGCCGCAGGGCTTCTACTTCGGAGCGTCAGCCGTCACTGGAGATCTGTCAGGTGAGACCGACCAGAACCTTCACGCTCACGTCTCTCTCTATAACCAGCACTGAGAGAGTTAACCTGCAGTTCCTCCACTGGCCACTAGAGGCCGGCTGCAGAAGAGACTCAGTCCCATAGACCCGCATGTTCAAATGCCCAACTTTACAGCAGTAAAGCGCTGGTTACGAACGTAACTCTAACTAAGTGTAAGACCGCCAGAGGCCGTGCTGGAAGATCCCTCGCGCTTGACCAAGAATCGAATAACAAAGTTATTCGTCCACCAATGAGGGCAGTGACGCCTGACTGAGAACGAGACGCCTACCAGACTGACCCGACCCGACCCGACCGCTCTGTGGCAGGGAGACTGGACTCTACAAACCTTAAAGTTCTGCATAATTAAGGGCGTGGCCACTTGAGTGACAGGTGGATTGCCGCTGATGTCACTACTAGCCGTTTGTCTGCTAGCGTTAGCATCACGTCACCTCAGCTAATCCGCCTCGCTGCACATGTTCGTTTATCCGGGAGTGACGCGCGGCCAAGATGGCGACGGCCGGCTCCGCCCACTTTGGGCTTCAGAAACACTACGGGTGACGTCACACACACTACACAGTGTTTTACACAGTCTGTGGGTGAGACACGCGTGTGCGAGCGCTTCCCCGTCACACGCAGCTCATGCTCAGTGTGTGTGTGTGTGTGTGTGTGTGTTTCAGATAACCATGACCTCATCTCCATGAAGCTGTACCAGCTGACGGTCCTGCGCAGCAAACAGGAGGACGAGGAGCAGGAGGAGGTTCTGGTTCCCAGCGTCGACAACATGGAGCTCCTGAGACGTGAGTATGATCACATGATCACAGCAGCTCACGTGTGCGTCAGCGTACGGTCGACACGCCGGCGACTCCATTCTGTTCCCATCTCAATTTGATTAGATTAGGGCTGTACTCAACCAAAGAAAATCTTGGTCGACTGAAGTCCTGAAATTTTTGACTAAAAATGACGTTAGAAAAAAAAAAAAAGTTAAATTAATTAGCTGCACACAGTGCGCAGTACTTGGTAGCCTTGTTGTCCGCCTAAATGAATTATAAATAAAGATAAAAAGCTAGTAGGCTATTGGCAGTATATTAAATCTTTTTTAAAACCTAATTATTTTGCACTGAAATGAGTCTGACACACGAGTCTGACGGCGCTGCATCACGCGCAATATCATAGCCTATGGTTTCCGAAGATAGTACTATGTTGTCAACTAGTGATATCATCACAAGAACTGTTGAGGAATATGCAACATAATTTAGACAATTATTTTTGTCATATGTTATAATAATAAGTTATAACTGTCAGACACTATCATTTCAGCGTGCATGTCCTCGCACCGAGCGAGGCTTAGGAGCTCTGAGACACGAATAGACTATTAACTTAAAGCTTTTACTCTTAATAAACACAAAAGGCACGTCCACTTTAATAAAAAAAGAATATTTATTAAACAAACCAGATTAAGAGCAGAAACGAAATAAAGTGCATAACTGAAAAAAAAGCATCTTAGGCTCAAAACTAACACAAACAGTCGGCACAGCGCAATTGCGCATTAGGCTCCAAATAAAAAATAAAAAAGTTAGGTTATCACACTAAAACATTGAAATATGCAAATTCTGATATGTTCATATAGCCTACTCAAAACAGACAGGGCAAGCTAACACAGACAAGTGAGCTTACCACTTTTAGATGATATGTCATGTTTGACGTTGAGCTGTTGCTTGCAAACTTTGCATTCGACCTTTTTCCCGTTATCAATTTTAACAAAATGCTGCCACACTGTCGATTTCTTTGTTGTTGACATGTTAGAAGAGGACTGACTATTAACGCTCTCACAATTAAATAAATAATATTCAGCATCAAACCTTCTATAGCCTACTTATCGTTCTCTCTTGGGTTGGGCTAATCCAAAAAAGGTGAAAACAAGGGGGTGTTCTGAAGACAGACTGTTACCTGTGAAACAAGGGTACTCTGAAACACCCCCATTAGCAGTTAGTGCTTTCCACCTGATGAAATGAGCGCGGCAAAAAATCCACCAATCAGAATTTTGGTCGAACCAGAACGTATCGACCAATTAATCGACTAATCGACTAGGACAATACAGCCCTAGATTAGATATCGATTAATTTGGATATACAGTCAAACCACCAATTATTCAGACACCAGTCTACTAGTGTGATCAGGACACTATAGTTAATTTCTGTAAGTGAGGAGAGCAAAATAAAGTAAAGTGTGACATATTATACCCTAATATTCTTCATACAGTGACTACCAGTGACATTTATAATCATTCAGGAGCAGAAATGATTCCTCCACTTTGAGCTGATCATGTTTTGCTGAAGTGTGTTTTCTGTAATTGCTAATGCTCTTTTTACACACAGACTGAACAACATGAAGCATTGCTTGGTCACTGGTTGAGCTAAACTGGTATTATCTAATTGTGGAGTTAAATTTAACAGCTGACAGATATTCAACATAATTCATGTGTGAGAGTCTAACAGAAGGACGGACAAAACCAGTCAAATATCCACTGATCTGAGAACTCTGAGTTCCTTTATTACCATTAACTATAGCGAATAAACTGATAATGTGAGAAATGTTGAAGCTGTGAGAATAAATGTTGTTTGACTGTATATCAGGTACAGTACGTGTCAATTTTTCTCAAAGAAAATCTCTCTGAAGTGAAGCTGAAAGGTACATTTCTGCGGTTGAAACACTGATTGATGGATTATGCGACATGATTGATTTCAGGAAGTTGTTCTGCATCTTTCATCATTCCTTCTGATGTCCGCTGATGCTTATTTGCTGCTGTAAATAGTAGTAAAGAGGAAGAGATGATCAGTTCATCCATAACACACACACACACACACACACACATTTACTGACTGACTTTACTGATGAAACTGACAGGATTGAGAGCTGAGACTGCACAGATTAGTGTATGGCAGGAGCTACAGATGTTTAGAGAAGTTCTGTCCACGCATCACCTGAAACCTGCACAGACTGAGTGTGTGTGTGTGTGTGTGTGTGTGTGTGTGTGTGTGTGTGTCTCTCCAGCGTACGCAGACGAGGAGGGCACGAGCAGCATCAGCATCTTCTTCTGCGTGCTCTTCTCCATGCTGGGAGTGTTTCTGCTGGTGGTGGTGGGACTGGTTCTGTACGGGCACTGGAGCGAGAGCCGGCGCAAGCGCTTCTACTGACACACACACAAACACACACACTCTGTCCAGGGGAATAACCTCAGCGATGAACACTCGACCTGTCGTCATGATTATGATGATGATGATGAAGATGTGATGGGCATCACGAGTCTTAGATGTGAATGTCTTTCTCTAACTCCTGCTGCCTTCATTCTCTCAACCAGTGCTATATTTATTGTATATTATATATTTATTAATTGTTTGTACAGAACGTCTAACATCTTGTCACCTGATTCAGATGGGAAATCTGAGGAGCCCATGGAATCAGAATTAAAGTTTTGTTGATTTTTGTCTCTATTATCTGTACGCCATGTTGAGTCACACCTGTCTCCTGGTGTTACACTCATGATTCAGTGCTTCACACACACACACACACACACACCGCTCGTCTGAACACACGGGTAATCCGCTCAGGACATCAGTCCCGTCTGTCATGGAATCAAAGATCATTTTGGGAGATTTTTTTCTTGTTTTAATCATAAACTCACTTAATTTGGATCATCTTTCAGAAAACAAGACTTCATATCTTCAGTCATTCTGCTTCTCCAGTAAAAGTATCTTGATTTAAGAATGTTTAGAAAATTGTCCTGGAAGACGAGACAGAAACACTGGAAGAACATCATGTTTTACACTGGTTGTGTTTTCTGGCGTACAGCGTTCACATCTGACAGATCAGACTTGCGTGTGTTTATATTCATGTGTGTGTCATGCACACAGACTCATGGGATCTTCCTCACGTGTCGGTGATCATATTATTACACAATTTCAAGACCTTCAGAACTGACTTCCGTCATTTGACGTCTCATTTCCCTGAATAAAAGCAGATGACGGACGGCTCAGCATCACCTCTGCTTTCGAGTCAGCTTTATGTCTAGCGGTTTATACAACACAGATTGTTTCTGTAACGAGGCATGTTGATAAGGAAAGGCGGCGGGAACGTTTCACACTAACCCTTCTGGTGAGATCTCGAGCGGCTGCGTTTTGGACCAGCTGGAGTTTGTTTATTAAGCCTGCAGGGCAACCACCCAGTAGAGCATTACAGTAATCTAGCCTTGAGGTCATGAGCTCATGAACTAACTGTTCTGCATTTGTCATTGAGAGCATATGACGTAATTTAGATATATTTTTAAGATGGAAAAATGCAGTTTTACAGATACTAGAAACGTGGCTTTCAAATGAAAGATTGGTATCAAAGAGCACACAAACACACACACACACAGGTTCCTAACCGACAACGAGGACTTGACAGAGCAGCCATCAAGTGTTAGACAGTATTCTAGGTTAGTATGTGTGGAGGTCTTTGGTCCAATAACTTTTTATATCAGCTATGCATTCCATTAATTTTGTGAATTGGTAAGTTTCGTCAGGGCGTGAAGAAATATAGAGCTGAGTATCATCAGCATAACAGTGAAAACTAATGCCATGCTTCCTAATGATATCTCCTAAGGACAGCATGTACAGAGTGTGTGTGTGAGAGGGTAGCATGTACAGTGTGTGTGTGTGAGAGGGTAGCATGTACAGTGTGTGTGAGAGAGGGTAGCATGTACAGAGTGTGTGTGTGTGTGAGGGTAGCATGTACAGAGTGAACAGCAGCGGTCCTAGTACTGAGCCTTGTGGTACGCCATACTGAACTTGTGATCGATAAGACATTTCTTCATTTACTACAAACTGATAATGGTCAGATAAGTATGATTTAAACCATGCTAGTGCAATTCCACTAATGCCAACATCATTTTTGAGCCTATTTAATAGAATGTTGTGGTCGATGGTAGGGTTAGTATCAAATGTTATGTATATTTGTAAATAGTAACATCAGAAACACAGAGACGACTGACTGCCAAAGCTGGTTTATTGTTTTTATTACAAAAATAAAATACAAATGACTATAGACACAGCAGACGTCTTACTAAATAATGCGTCAGTAGAAACGCCACACGGCTGTCAGTGCTGCAATTACAAACCAAACACGCCTGAGCATCTTCATCATCTTCATCATCTGCGGTCCGCAAACCTGACGGACGCTCAGATGTGCGTTACACACGTCAGCTCCACGATTAGAAACGAGTATGAAGTCAAAACAGCTCGACGTGCTTTACAGAAGAGCTGGCGCTGTGATTTGGCTCGATATTAACGTCACTTATTATTAAACACACATTTGAACAAAAGAAATCATCTGACGCCTCAGGTTTCACAGTCCCTGGATGAGTCCATCTGAAACAGAGGCGTTCACGAACAAAGGACGAGTTATTGAGTTAGTACACAAACTAAGAAACCACAAACAAGCGCCGCGGGCAGACAGTGACGAGCGCCGGAGAGGCCGTCTCGAGATGAAGCGTCCGCTGATCACACCGGGACACGAGCGCCGTTGCTGATGAGTCCTGGTGTTTTGCATAGCCTAGTTAGTTGGTTAGTGAGTTAATCTGGTTCTCCAGTGGGAAAAAGGCACAGAATCTGTAAACTTTGCAGGATTTGCGTTGGAGAAGTGTGAGGACGACACGTCCTTCAGTGCAACACACAGGGTTCACAGGGATGATGGGACACAAGCGCGAGAACAACAGCAAACATTCTGAAACATGATATTGATTTTAGCCCTTAATGCAGGAAAACGTCACGTGATTCATACAGAACCGTCATGCAACTATCAGCCCGAGGCCCTACGACACGCAGCTCGCGTCTGTGCTTTACTAATAAACTAGATCATAACGCTGAGGCAGAGTCATGTGACGCTGCTGATGTCATTCACACACACACACACAGGTTTACAGTAGCAGTGCGAGATGGGAAAGGCCACAATCTTCCAGACACACACACACACACACGTATGAGACGATCAGCTGACTGTTGATCTGCTCTCAGCGCTCATGGGATTTTCAGGCACACAAACATGAAAACACACACTCCCTTTACACTCTCTGTGTGTGTGTGTGTGCCGCTCTGGGCCGCAGTCATGGTGAGAAACGAGCAGTGGCTCAGTCGAGGAAAGCGTGAGGGATGCTGGGAAACAGAAGCTCAGAGTCTCGCTCACTCGTGATCGGTCACACGAGGCGCTCGGGTTCTGGTTCTGCTGGATCTTTCCCAGCGCTGGAACAGCAGCCGGCCGCCCCCTGACACCCCTCGGCCTCCTCCAGGCCCTGGTCCTGGTCCAGCCGGCACACACACACCTCGATGCCCGAGTCCCCGGTCACGTGCCGGCGCCGGCTGTTCTCCTGCTCCGGAACCGGTGCGGGCGGGTCCTGTGGGTTCTGATGGTTCTGCGGGTCCACAGACTCTGAGTACGGTGGAGGAGGCGTCGGAGGATGAGCCAGAACCTCCTCATAGTCCGGCAGCTTACAGTCCGTCCACAAGCCTGGAGAAACACACACAAACACACACACTCGGATCAGAGGATCTGAGGCCCGTCACACTACTTCATTTACAGATGGATAAACACATGCACAAACACATGCACAGCCGTTCATGACGTGATATTCTATTAATTTTAAATAATATTTACTAATGCCCGAGCTGCAGCGGGACATGCGAGAGAGACGAGCCCCCTGATACGCCATCAGACTGATCTCTGGCTGAGTGACGGTGTGTGTGTGTGTGTGACGGTGTGTGTGACCGGTTTGTGTGTGAGACTCACGCAGGTTGAGAGGAGCAGGAGTGATGAAGGAACTGGACGCCCCCTGATAGGCCATCAGGCTGATCTCTCGCTGTCTCTGCTCCTGCTGGAGTCGCATCTTCACCCGCCGGTGTCTGTACGCGCAGCAGCAGCTCAGCATGATGATGAGGGTCCAGACCAGCCAGAACCCTAAACACACACACACTTTTAGTTTTTAGACTAAAATCACATCTCTTTAACCTAGCATACACATAGAAAAAGATACATTCCTACTATTCAAATCAGTTAATTGATCATTAGGCTGAATAGATTAGGTCATCCAGAACCAGGAACACTTCCTATAACACTTCCTATAACACCCGATGTACTCGCTACATCATAAGAAGAATGGCATCTGCGCTAAAGTTAGTCTTTCTGTTTATTCCGAGGTTTACTGTAATCAATCAGCCGGATCCGGGCCGTATCCAGATCAGATGGAGGACCTGCGCCTAGACACGACCACAACACATGATGTAGTCAGCCGGATCCGGGCCGTGTCCAGATCAGATGGAGGACCTGCGCCTAGACACGACCACAACACATGATGTAGTCAGCCGGATCCGGGCCGTATCCAGATCAGATGGAGGACCTGTGCCTAGACACGACCACAACGCATGATGTAGTCAGCCGGATCCGGGCCGTATCCAGATCAGATGGAGGACCTGCGCCTAGACACGACCACAACACATGATGTAGTCAGCCGGATCCGGGCCGTATCCAGATCAGATGGAGGACCTGCGCCTAGACACGACCACAACACATGATGTAGTCAGCCGGATCCGGGCCGTATCCAGATCAGATGGTGGACCTGCGCCTAGACACGACCACAACACATGATGTAGTCAGCCGGATCCGGGCCGTATCCAGATCAGATGGTGGACCTGCGCCTAGACACGACCACAACGCATGATGTAGTCAGCCGGATCCGGGCCGTATCCAGATCAGATGGAGGACCTGCATCTAGACACGACCACAACACATGATGTAGTCAGCCGGATCCGGGCCGTATCCAGATCAGATGGAGGACCTGCATCTAGACACGACCACAACACATGATGTAGTCAGCCGGATCCGGCCATGTCCAGATCAGATGGAGGACCTGCGCCTAGACACCACCACAACGCATGATGTAGTCAGCCGGATCCGGGCCGTATCCAGATCAGATGGAGGACCTGCATCTAGACACGACCACAACACATGATGTAGTCAGCCGGATCCGGCCATGTCCAGATCAGATGGAGGACCTGCGCCTAGACACGACCACAACGCATGATGTAGTCAGCCGGATCCGGGCCGTATCCAGATCAGATGGAGGACCTGCACCTAGACACGATCACAACGCATGATGTAGTCAGCCGGATCCGGGCCGTATCCAGATCAGATGGTGGACCTGTGCCTAGACACGACCACAACGCATGATGTAGTCAGCCGGATCCGGCCCGTATCCAGATCAGATGGTGGACCTGCGCCTAGACACGACCACAACACATGATGTAGTCAGCCGGATCCGGGCCGTATCCAGATCAGATGGAGGACCTGCGCCTAGACACGACCACAACGCATGATGTAGTCAGCCGGATCCGGGCCGTATCCAGATCAGATGGAGGACCTGCGCCTAGACACGACCACAACGCATGATGTAGTCAGCCGGATCCGGGCCGTATCCAGATCAGATGGAGGACCTGCGCCTAGACACGACCACAACGCATGATGTAGTCAGCCGGATCCGGGCCGTATCCAGATCAGATGGAGGACCTGCGCCTAGACACGACCACAACGCATGATGTAGTCAGCCGGATCCGGCCCGTATCCAGATCAGATGGAGGACCTGCACCTAGACACGACCACAACGCATGATGTAGTCAGCCGGATCCGGGCCGTATCCAGATCAGATGGAGGACCTGCGCCTAGACACGACCACAACGCATGATGTAGTCAGCCGGATCCGGGCCGTATCCAGATCAGATGGAGGACCTGCGCCTAGACACGACCACAACGCATGATGTAGTCAGCCGGATCCGGGCCGTATCCAGATCAGATGGAGGACCTGCGCCTAGACACGACCACAACGCATGATGTAGTCAGCCGGATCCGGGCCGTTTTCAGATCAGATGGTGGACCTGCACCTAGACACGACCACAACGCATGATGACGTCAGCCGGATCCGGGACGTATCCAGATCAGATGGTGGACCTGCACCTAGACACGACCACAACACATGATGTAGTCAGCCGGATCCGGCCCATATCCAGATCAGATGGAGGACCTGCACCTAGACACGACCACAACACATGATGTAGTCAGCCGGATCCGGGCCGTATCCAGATCAGATGGAGGACCTGCGCCTAGACACGACCACAACGCATGATGTAGTCAGCCGGATCCGGGACGTATCCAGATCAGATGGTGGACCTGCACCTAGACACGACCACAACACATGATGTAGTCAGCCGGATCCGGGCCGTATCCAGATCAGATGGTGGACCTGCGCCTAGACACGACCACAACGCATGATGTAGTCAGCCGGATCCGGGCCGTATCCAGATCAGATGGAGGACCTGCACCTAGACACGACCACAACGCATGATGTAGTCAGCCGGATCCGGGCCGTATCCAGATCAGATGGAGGACCTGCACCTAGACACGACCACAACACATGATGTAGTCAGCCGGATCCGGGCCGTATCCAGATCAGATGGAGGACCTGCGCCTAGACACGACCACAACACATGATGTAGTCAGCCGGATCCGGGCCGTATCCAGATCAGATGGAGGACCTGCACCTAGACACGACCACAACGCATGATGACGTCAGCCGGATCCGGGCCGTATCCAGATCAGATGGAGGACCTGCGCCTAGACACGACCACAACACATGATGTAGTCAGCCGGATCCGAGCCGTATCCAGATCAGATGGTGGACCTGCGCCTAGACACGACCACAACACATGATGTAGTCAGCCGGATCCGGCCCATATCCAGATCAGATGGAGGACCTGTGCCTAGACACGACCACAACACATGATGTAGTCAGGCGGATCCGGGCCGTATCCAGATCAGATGGTGGACCTGCGCCTAGACACGACCACAACGCATGATGTAGTCAGCCGGATCCGGCCCATATCCAGATCAGATGGAGGACCTGTGCCTAGACACGACCACAACACATGATGTAGTCAGCCGGATCCGGCCCATATCCAGATCAGATGGAGGACCTGTGCCTAGACACGACCACAACACATGATGTAGTCAGGCGGATCCGGGCCGTATCCAGATCAGATGGTGGACCTGCGCCTAGACACAACCACAACACATGATGTAGTCAGCCGGATCCGGCCCATATCCAGATCAGATGGAGGACCTGCGCCTAGACACGACCACAACACATGATGTAGTCAGGCGGATCCGGGCCGTATCCAGATCAGATGGTGGACCTGCGCCTAGACACGACCACAACGCATGATGTAGTCAGCCGGATCCGGCCCATATCCAGATCAGATGGAGGACCTGTGCCTAGACACGACCACAACACATGATGTAGTCAGCCGGATCCGGCCCATATCCAGATCAGATGGAGGACCTGTGCCTAGACACGACCACAACACATGATGTAGTCAGGCGGATCCGGGCCGTATCCAGATCAGATGGAGGACCTGCGCCTAGACACGACCACAACACATGATGTAGTCAGCCGGATCCGGGCCGTATCCAGATCAGATGGAGGACCTGTGCCTAGACACGACCACAACACATGATGTAGTCAGGCGGATCCGGGCCGTATCCAGATCAGATGGAGGACCTGTGCCTAGACACGACCACAACACATGATGTAGTCAGGCGGATCCGGGCCGTATCCAGATCAGATGGTGGACCTGCGCCTAGACACGACCACAACACATGATGTAGTCAGCCGGATCTGGGCCGTATCCAGATCAGATGGAGGACCTGCGCCTAGACACGACCACAACACATGATGTAGTCAGCCGGATCCGGCCCATATCCAGATCAGATGGAGGACCTGCGCCTAGACACGACCACAACACATGATGTAGTCAGCCGGATCCGGGCCGTATCCAGATCAGATGGAGGACCTGTGCCTAGACACGACCACAACACATGATGTAGTCAGGCGGATCCGGGCCGTATCCAGATCAGATGGTGGACCTGCGCCTAGACACGACCACAACGCATGATGTAGTCAGCCGGATCTGGGCCGTATCCAGATCAGATGGAGGACCTGCGCCTAGACACGACCACAACACATGATGTAGTCAGCCGGATCCGGCCCATATCCAGATCAGATGGAGGACCTGCGCCTAGACACGACCACAACACATGATGTAGTCAGCCGGATCCGGGCCGTATCCAGATCAGATGGAGGACCTGCGCCTAGACACGACCACAACGCATGATGTAGTCAGCCGGATCTGGGCCGTATCCAGATCAGATGGAGGACCTGCGCCTAGACACGACCACAACACATGATGTAGTCAGCCGGATCCGGCCCATATCCAGATCAGATGGAGGACCTGCGCCTAGACACGACCACAACACATGATGTAGTCAGCCGGATCCGGGCCGTATCCAGATCAGATGGTGGACCTGCGCCTAGACACGACCACAACGCATGATGTAGTCAGCCGGATCTGGGCCGTATCCAGATCAGATGGAGGACCTGCGCCTAGACACGAACACAACACATGATGTAGTCAGCCGGATCCGGCCCATATCCAGATCAGATGGAGGACCTGCGCCTAGACACGACCACAACACATGATGTAGTCAGCCGGATCCGGCCCATATCCAGATCAGATGGGACAACTTTGCTCCATTATTTTCCTGTTATCTTTAAAGCTGCTTTGAAACAATCTGTATTGTAAAAAGCGCTATATAAATAAAGGTGACTTGACACACGCACACAACACAGACACACACACAATCATCATCATCAGTGCAGTGGATGACGGGTTCAGTTTTATCTGTCAAATGCTGCTCATCAACATCACCAATGCTTTCAAACATGTCGTGTTCATGATCTTTTGTGATGAGAAACTTCATGGAATATTTGTACCAGAGATGGGGACTCGAGTTTGAGACTCGGACTCGAGTGCGACTTAAGTCGCACACACAGTGACTTCAGACTCGACTTGAGACTCGTCCTCGAAAGACTTCAGACTCGACTCGGACTCGAGCTGCGGGACTCGTGAACAATGTTTATTTTTAGGAAACGTCTGATGAGCTCTCTGTTATTCCCCTCCCTCCGACCCGTTACCTAAAACCTGCCTACATAACACGTACTACGGCCGCTGCTGTGCCATTCATAGTAAGCTTTGGGTTTAAAAACTTCAAACAAGACGGGCCAAATAAAAGAAGCGCTCAATGCAAAATATGCGGTATCTGCGCACGTGCACCTCATGGTGTTCCATGAGGGAGAGAGAGCGCGAGAGGTATGGGTGAACGAGAGAGAGAGAGAGAGAGAGAGAGAGAGAGAGACCTGCGAGAGGTAGTACGGCGCTCTGCAATCAAATACGATTTTAAATAGGCTTAGTAAAAATAAAATAAAAAATCGAAAATCAATGTGTGGCGGTCAGCCAGTGTTGATATTGTGGCGGGGCGCCACAAATATATGAACGTATGAGGAACCATGTATTTCACATCATTTGGTTCCAATAGTGTTTTGCATTTAGCTACACTGTGCGTTTTGCACTATGTCAATTTTAGTGCTGTGAGGTAGGCTATAACATTTTCTATATTTGGTCTTATGGCTCCACAGAGCCAGCACAAAAGGAGCCAAGGCCTTTCATTATAATTCAGCAACAGACATGAGAGTCCTTTTTCTTCAGAACCTCAATTTTTACAGATGCAGATATTAACTTAAAAGTAAAGCATTCTTGGTGTTTTTGTCATGTTGAAATAGCCTGTTTACACTGATTATATACCTAAATCAAAGCTGATACTGTATGCTAATAGATAAAGGAGTCATAAAAACATTACATGCTTTGAATTCCTTATATATAGCTATGAAGTGTTCTAAGCAGCCTGGATGGGTCGCTGTACGTGATGCAACACTTATTATAACCACAAGAGACTTGAGACTTGACTTGGACTCTAGTTCAGAGACTCGTGAGCATCTCTGATTTGTACTTGTAAAAATCATTTGTCACATGGCCATTCAAAATTAATTAGTGAGACAAAAGGTGGTAAAACGTGATCCGTCACATCACCAGTACGATTACTCTCATGCAAATACATACAGGCTTTGACATGAAACCTTGGAGTGTCTATTTGAAGAACTGACAGATACACTGAGAAAACGTGTGTGTGTGTGTGTGTAACAGATTTAATCTGCAGGTGTGTGTGTGTGTGTGTGTGTGTGTGTGTGTGTGTAACAGATGAATCTGCAGGTGTGTGTGTGTAACAGATGAATCTGCAGGTGTGTGTGTGTAACAGATGAATCTGCAGGTGTGTGTGTGTAACAGATTTAATCTGCAGGTGTGTGTGTGTAACAGATTTAATCTGCAGGTGTGTGTGTGTAACAGATTTAATCTGCAGGTGTGTGTGTGTGTGTGTGTAACAGATGAATCTGCAGGTGTGTGTGTGTGTGTAACAGATGAATCTGCAGGTGTGTGTGTGTAACAGATTTAATCTGCAGGTGTGTGTGTGTAACAGATTTAATCTGCAGGTGTGTGTGTGTGTGTGTGTGTGTGTGTGTGTGTGTGTAACAGATGAATCTGCAGGTGTGTGTGTGTAACAGATTTAATCTGCAGGTGTGTGTGTGTGTGTGTGTGTAACAGATGAATCTGCAGGTGTGTGTGTGTGTGTGTGTGTGTAACAGATGAATCTGCAGGTGTGTGTGTGTAACAGATGAATCTGCAGGTGTGTGTGTGTAACAGATGAATCTGCAGGTGTGTGTGTGTAACAGATGAATCTGCAGGTGTGTGTGTGTAACAGATGAATCTGCAGGTGTGTGTGTGTAACAGATGAATCTGCAGGTGTTTGTGTGTGTGTGTGTAACAGATGAATCTGCAGGTGTTTGTGTGTGTGTGTGTAACAGATGAATCTGCAGGTGTTTGTGTGTGTGTGTAACAGATTAATCTGCAGGTGTTTGTGTGTGTGTGTAACAGATTAATCTGCAGGTGTTTGTGTGTGTGTGTAACAGATGAATCTGCAGGTGTTTGTGTGTGTGTGTGTAACAGATGAATCTGCAGGTGTTTGTGTGTGTGTGTAACAGATGAATCTGCAGGTGTGTGTGTGTGTGTGTAACAGATGAATCTGCAGGTGTGTGTGTGTGTGTGACAGATGAATCTGCAGGTGTGTGTGTGTAACAGATGAATCTGCAGGTGTGTGTGTGTGTGACAGATGAATCTGCAGGTGTGTGTGTGTAACAGATGAATCTGCAGGTGTTTGTGTGTGTGTGTAACAGATGAATCTGCAGGTGTGTGTGTGTGTGTGTGTGTGACAGATGAATCTGCAGGTGTGTGTGTGTGTGACAGATGAATCTGCAGGTGTGTGTGTGTAACAGATGAATCTGCAGGTGTGTGTGTGAGACAGATGAATCTGCAGGTGTGTGTGTGTGTGTGTAACAGATGAATCTGCAGGTGTGTGTGTGTGTGACAGATGAATCTGCAGGTGTGTGTGTGTAACAGATGAATCTGCAGGTGTGTGTGTGTGTAACAGATGAATCTGCAGGTGTGTGTGTGTGTAACAGATGAATCTGCAGGTGTGTGTGTGTGTGACAGATGAATCTGCAGGTGTGTGTGTGTGTGACAGATGAATCTGCAGGTGTGTGTGTGTGACAGATGAATCTGCAGGTGTGTGTGTGTGTGTGTAACAGATGAATCTGCAGGTGTGTGTGTGTGTGTGTAACAGATGAATCTGCAGGTGTGTGTGTGTGTAACAGATGAATCTGCAGGTGTGTGTGTGTGTGACAGATGAATCTGCAGGTGTGTGTATGTAACAAATGAATCTGCAGGTGTGTGTGTGTGTGTGTGTGTGTGTGTGTGTGTGTGTGTGTGTGTGTGTGTGTGTGTGTGTGTGTGTGTGTGTGTGTGTAACTCACACCACAGCTCGTAATAGTAAGTGCAGCACTCGGTCTCCCCGCAGCAGTAGCCCATCTCACAGCGGTACTGTTCATTGTTCACGCCGAAACAAAACTCCTTCCCCTGCAAACAAACACAAGCATTCAGCAACACACACACACACAAGCTGTGAGGGCTGGGGTCTGACAGAAAACACTCGAGAGTCTCATCCTTCTGGCCCAGTACAAACACAAATCCATCCTTTGAAAGCCAGGTGACTTGATTTGTGTCAAACATTCAACTATTGTGCTCAAGATAAAGCTGAAATAAACGAGTCCATAAATACATATAAACCATTTTATATAAAAATAATAATATGAATAAAATTGAGCCCTAATATTGTGTAAATAAACAGGAAACACCAAAGTCAGTCTTTATTGATTTGCTGGATCATTTACACAATAACCTTTTAAAACAATCAGTACAAGCCAAACCCCGAACCTCACAAACAGACACAAGCCCAGCAAACACCCTACAAACACACAAAAACACTAAGTTACAAAACCTCAAACACTACGGACAAAACGATCAATAAGCATATATATATTCATATCATCTGCTCAAATGTCTATGATTTCAACATGTAAAACATTTATGTCGATTCTAAATACCCGGAAAGAAGCAGGATATCGAACATTATGTTTCGGTAACCGTGCTTTATGGCTTTGTTTCAGTTGTTTATCGAGGCCTCCACACCGCGCGAATCCCCGAGCTCGAGTTCAAGCACTCCGCGCCTCAGAGGGCCTGCCGCCGGCTTACCTGAACTAAACACGCCGCTGCGCAGAGAAGCCCCACGGCGGAGCACAGCGTCTTCTGCGGCATCTTTCTGCGCGTTTCTTCCCAAACTCCAGTTAATCATAAGTTAATCATAAAGCTTCAGATGAACAGACGCGCGTCATGTCTGTGTGATGAGTGTGATGATCCACAGAGGGCAGCAGCATCACAATCACAGCAATAACACACACACACACACACACACACACACACACACACACACACACACACACACACACACACACACGGCTTATCTTGCGCGAGTGTCGCTGCATTTCTGCATTTAATGAAATATTTGTATCATATTATACCCGATATTGTGCGTAGGCCATAACATTTATTCATGTTGAATTTTTTTTCTCACTTTTGGTCGGGCAAATCACATCAATTACACATCTCAAAACAATAATACTAATAAATTGATAATTTTTTAAAAAGTTTTTACTAAAGATCTTATATATTTGCAAATTGTCATATATTTGAAATGTAACGGATGCGCACGTTGAATCGGAACATGACGTCAACAGGATGACATCAGATGCGCGTTCTGCGAGACAGCGGGAGCGCGCAGTGAGAAATAGTGAGTAGCTGCGTCCGAAATCACATACTTCCTTATATAGTAGACGATAAACAGTATGTCTGTCCAAATTCACAGATAAAAGAGTAGGCAAACCAGTGCCTGGACGGCCTTCTATGTTCCAGCGAGATTCTGGTGTGCATATGCTACTATATAGAATATTTTTTTAGCAGCCCTGAAGTAATAATGTCTCCGGTTACTATCGTAACCTCGGTTCCCTGAGAGGCGGGAACGAGACATTACGTCATACTGACGTATATGGGAACTCCTCCCTTCTCCATTTTCACTGAAATCTTATAGGATAACGCCAGCTGGAGACAGCTGGCCAATTGACGCAAAACATGCAAATGCTGACCGGTCCGCGGGCAGTATAAAATAGCATGGGCGCGACAATTACGTCAGAATCAAGACTGAACGCTAGCACAGCTGATCAAACGGCGAGCACGGCGGTTGACGTAATGTCTCGTTCCCGCCTCTCAGGGAACCGAGGTTACGATAGTAACCGGAGACGTTCCCTTTCAAGGCGGTCACTTCGACATTACGTCATACTGACGTATATGGGAACTGTATAGAATCCCGCCGTGAGCGCAGTGAAGATAAGCCCTGAACGGGGTCAAGCTACACTCCCACAGGAACAACAGTTCTAAGCCAGCAGCGCCGCTAGGAGCACTCAAAACTGATAGGCGAAACTAGACCAACGTCTGCTCCGGCTTACCAAGTTGCGCATCCACTGCAATGAGGCGAAGGCTGCACTGGACAGGGCAGCAGAATACCATAAGCACTCGAGCACAAGAGCTAACACAGTGTCGACGGCATAGCGGTGACAGCTGCATAACCTTAAGCCACACACAGAGTTAACAGTACGTTGGAACTACTGCGTAATGTGGAAACAGCTATGTAACCTCATAGTCATAACACAGAGTTAGCAGCAATGGTAACTCTGCAATACATACTACTGCACAGCTGGTGGTAACAGTTTCATGAGTACATTAATAAAACTCACCGAACCCACGACGCTAAGGTGGTGCATCAAACTTGGAACCCTGGCGAATGTGTTCTGAGAAGACAGCCAGCATACCTAAATCCCGTAGGCATTAAGCAACCATTTAAAGCATCGAATTCAGAGAGAAGTCTCTGTATAAACAGCACGTCCCTAGTACCATCCACCAAGCACACAAACAGCTGGTAGACTGCTTTGCCAAGTGATCCACGTACATCCACAAATCCCTTACAGGGCCAACATCACTCTGAGCATCGGCATCATGCGAGGCTGAAACTCAGCAGATAGGCGGGCAGGGATCAACCTGTGCTCTGAACGGTGTAAGCGACTTCGGAACGTAGCCTGGTATCGGACTGGGAGTGACGCTGCAGTCATCAGGTCCGAGACAATGCGACAACATTCGCTAGAATGAGCATAAGTCTCCAAGTGCTTCGCTGGGGCGAGAGCCGGTGGTAAGGCCATCTCAGGGAGAGCTCCGTCTCAGCACTTGTCAGTGTGAAGTGTCTTGCTCAACTAAGGACCCAGCAGCGGACACACAAGAAGGTTCCACAGCTTGGGGCTGGGGTGCCACCTTGTAGAACATAGCCGATGTTCTATAGCCAATGTACAGAAGTGCAAATCAACACATAACTAAATGTACATAAACACAGTGCCAGTGGCCGTAGCGACGACAACTGTGAATATACGCAGTTAGAAAATAGCCCCATAATAGCATAGCACCTCAGTAAGCAAACAAACAGTCATAACTGTAGCTACAACTGTGAATATATGAGTTTGCACAGAATAACCAGTTGCCCTGATAGGAACGGGGCAATATAACAGCGTAGCACATGCACGTACAGCATTTTTCAGAACTAAGATGCATAGTTAGATTAGGATGGCTAGCAGCACTGAAGGAAACAGGGCAGCATTACAGCATAACACATCCGTTTACGTACATACATCCAGAACTGTGAATATGCACGGTTAGATTAGGATAGCTAGTTTTGCACTGAAGGAAACAGGGCAACAAAATAGCAAAAACACGTCCTTGTACGTGCCGTGTAGTCGCCATAGCGACAGAACTGAATATGCAGTTAGATAGGATAACTGGATGTTGCACTGAAGGATAGAGGGCAACATAACAGCATTACCCATCAGTGTGCACATATCAAACATCTGAGTGTATAATGCGGTGCAAGTCGATGAAGCGACCGAGACTGCATGAATATGCACAGTTCACATAATGGTCAGTTACGTTAGCAACATAACTGCATAACGCTTCAGTGTGGACACAGATGCAGCGCAAGTCGCCGTAGCGACAAACTGTGACTAAGCACAGTTAGATAGGATAGCTAGGTGCACTGAAGGATACAGGGCAACGCGATAGCATAGTCACATTAGTGTGTACAAAAACACAGCGTCAGAGGCATCGCGACATCGACTGTGAATACATAGTAAGTCAGAATAGCCGGTTGCACTGATGATACAGGGCAATATTTAGCGGCGTAAACATAGCACATCAGTGCGTAGCGTGTACACAGCGTCAGTTGCACCGCACAACGACTGTGTACGTAATCAGAATAGCCATTTGCACTGAAGGATACAGGGCAATGTACAACGGCATAAATCATAACACATTCAGTGTGTAGAGTGTACATAGACACGGCGTCAGTTGCATCACACGACAACTGTGAATATGCACTGCGTAGTAATCAGAATAGCCATTTGCACTGAAAGAAACAGGGCAATATATAATGGCATAAATCATACACATAACAGTGAGTTGTATGTACGTAACACAGTGTCAGTTGCATCGCACCACACAGTGAATACGTATTAATCAGAATAGTTATTTGCACTGAAGGATACAGGGCAAAATACAAAGGCAAAATTCATAACACATAGTGTGTAGTCTGTACATAAACACAGCATCAGTTGCATCGCACAACAACTGTTGAATACGTACTGCATAGTAATCAGAATAGCCATTTGCACTGAAAATTACAGGGCAACATATAATGGCATAAATCCCCACACATAACGCTGTGTAGTGTGTACGTAACACAGCGTCAGTTGCATCGCACAACAACAACTGTGAATACGTAGTAATCAGAATAGCCATTTGCACTGAAGGATACAGGGCAACAACGGCAAAATTCATAACGCAGTGTACGGTGTGTACGTAACACAGCGTCAGTTGCATCGCAAGACTGTGAATACGTAGTAATCGGAATAGCCATTTGCACTGAAGGATAAGGAACAGGGCAATATATAATGGCGTAAATCATACACATAACAGTGCGTAGTGTGTACTTAACACAGCGTCCGTTGCAACGCAACAACTGTGAATACGTAGTAATCAGAATAGCCAGTTGCACTGAAGGGTACAGGGCAATATCGTGGCATAAGCATAACACACACATATCATTGTACATAAACACAGCGTCAGTGGCATCGCACAACTGTGAATCAGAATAGCCAGTTGCACTGAAGGATACAGGGCAATTTATAGCAGCATGAATCATGAACACATATCAGTGTGTAGAGTGCACGTAAACACAGCGTCATTTCATCGCCCAACAACTGTGAATACGTGGTAATAGAATAGCCATTTGCACTGAAGAACAGGGCAGCATATAACGGCGCAAATCTTAGCACATATAAGTGTGCAGTGTGAACAAACACAGCGTCAGTGGCGTAGCGACAACAACTGTGATTACGTGGTTAAATCAGAATGGCCAGTTGCACTGAGGGATACAGGGCAAAATATAAGGGCATAACAGTTAAATCATGGCACATATCAGTGTGCAGTGTGTACATAAACACAGCGTCAGTGGCATGGCGACAACAACTGTGATTACGTGGTTAATAGAATAGCCAGTTGCACTGAGGGATACAGGGCAATATATAAGGATATAACAGTTAAACCATAGCACATATCAGTGTGCAGTGTGTACATAAACACAGCGTCAGTGGCATGGCGACAACAACTGTGATTACGTGGTTAATAGAATAGCCAGTTGCACTGAGGGATACAGGGCAATATATAAGGATATAACAGTTAAACCATAGCACATATCAGTGTGCAGTGTGTACATAAACACAGCGTCAGTGGCATAGCGACAACAACTGTGGATACGTGGTAATCAGAATAGCCATTCGCACTGAAAGAAACAGGGCAATATATGACGGCACGAATCATAGCACATATCAGTGTGTAGTCTGAACATAAACACAGCGTCAGTGGCGTAGCGACAACAACTGTGGATACGTGGTTAAATCAGAATGGCCAGTTGCACTGAAGGATACAGGGCAGCCTGACGACATAAGCTGTAAGCTGTGCACCTCCATTACCAGAGCGGGGCGTCCTGACGCGGCGCTCTCCGTGGCCTGTGTCGCCACATTCCCGGCCCCGCCCTCTGCCAACGGTGAAGATCCGGTTCGTTACGGGTTCGAACCGTTTTGGCGGCTGTAGCCGAATTAGGCGGGACGAGGTGCCGACGAAGAGAGACATCGAGGAAGGCTGGACGTATGGATCAAAAGTTTCGGTTTAATGTCTGGCCGCGGCGCGACTAAATTTTATCTGCTGTGAGAGCTGGGATCGAACACGGGTCTCCCGTGCGACGGCTTTGGGGTTCG